TATTCAGATGATTAATATCCTCTTTGTTCAGTTTTAGGTCGTTGTAAGTTTCTAGAAATCTGTCCATTTCTTCAAGATTTTTAATTTTTTTAGAGTATAGGCTCTCAAAGTAGTCTATGATGGTTTCCTTTATTTCCTTGGTGTTTGTAGTTATCTCCTCTTTTGCATTTCTCATTTTACTGATTTGGGTTTTTTGTCTCCTCATTTTAGTCAGGATTGCCAGCAGTCTGTCAATCTTATTTGTTTTTTCAAAGAACTAGCTTTTTGTTTCATTGATTCTTTGTTTTTGTATTTTTTTTGTTTGTTTGTTTCTATTTCATTGATTTTAGCCCTTATTTTAATTATTTCTTTCCTTCTGCTTGTTTTGGGATTTGCTTGTTCTTGTGTTTCTAGGAGTTTGAGCTGCAGTATTAGGTCATTGATTTGAGATCTTTCTGACCTTTTAATATATGCACTCATGGCTATAAACTTTCCTGTTAGGACTGCTTTTGCTGTGTCCCATAGGTTCTGGTAGGTTGTGTTTTCATTTTTATTAACTTCCAGGAATGTTTTAATTTCCTCATTTATTTCATCAAAGATGCATTCATCATTGAGCAATGTGTTGTTCAGCTTCCAATTTTTTGCATGTTTTTTACTGCTGTTTTTGTTGTTGATTTCTAGTTTTAATGCATTGTGGTCAGATAAAATGCATGGAATTATTTCTATTTTCTTCTATTTGCTGAGGCTTGCTTTGTGCCCTAAGAAATGATCAATTTTTGGGAAAGTTCCATGTGCTGCTGAGAAGAATATGCATTGTGCAGAAGTTGGATGAAGTATTCTGTAGATATCAGCTAGGTCCATTTGATCGATGGTGTGATTTAGTTCTAGGATTTCTTTATTGATTTTTTGTTTGGATAACCTATCTATTGGTGATAGGGGAGTATTAAGGTCTCCCAGTACCACTGTGTTGGAGTTTATATATGTTTTTATGTCCTTCAGAGTATGCTTGATGAAATTGGGTGCATTGACATTGGGAGCATATAGGTTGATAACTGTTATTTCTTTTTGGTGTATTTCCCATTTTATTAGTATAGAGTGTCTTTCTTTATCTCATCTGATGAAAGTAGGTTTGAAATCTACTTTGTCAGAGATAAGTATTGCTACTCCTGCCTGTTTTTGGGGACCATTGACTTGGTAAATCTTCTTCCAGCCTTTAACTTTCAGCCAGTGCTTATTTCTGTCAATGAGGTGGGTCTCCTGCAGGCAGCAGATTGTTGGATCTTCCTTTTTAATCCAGTTTGCCAGTCAGTGTCTTTTGATGAGAGATTTTAGTCCATTAACATTCAGTGTTAGTATTGATAAATACCTGGTGATCCCTGTCATGTAGTTGTCTTTGTTCATTAAGAGTTTGATTGTGTGTAGCTGAAACAATGTTACTCTTTACTTTCTTGCCTTTTTTTCTCCTGTGGTTTGGTATTGCCTGCCCTTTCATGGTTTTGTTTGCTTTCATTCCTGTGTTCAGAATTCCTTGGAGAATCTTTTTTAGTAGTGGCTTGGTGGTCATATATTGGTTTAATTTCTGCTTATCATGGAAGACTTTTATTGTTCCATTTCTGCTTATCATGGAAGACTTTTTATTCCATCTATTTTGAATGATAGTTTTGCTGGGTAGAGTATCCTAAGTTATTTTCATTTAGTGCTTGGAAGTTCTCACCCCATGCTCTTCTTGCTTGTAATGTTTCTGTTGAGAAGTCTGCTGTGATTTTGATGGGTTTACCTTTGTATATTATTGTTTTTTTCTCTCTTACAGCCTTCGATATTCTTCCTCTAGTCTCTGTACTTGTTGTTTTAATGACGATATGTCGTGGGGTAGCTCTGTTTTGGTCAGGACTGTTCAGTGTTCTGGAGGCTTCCTGTAACTGAATGGACATAGTTTTCTCTAGATTTGGGAAATTTTCTGTTATTATTTTGTTGAATATATTATGCATTCATTTTGCTTACACCTCTTCTCCTTTTTTCAATGCTCATGATTCTCAGGTTTGGTCTTTTGATGGAGTCGGTGAGTTCTTGCATTTTCTTTTCACAGGTCTTGTGTTGTTCAGCTAAAAGTTCTTCAGTTTTTCCTTTAATTTCCATTTCATCTTGAAGTTCTGAGATTCTGTCTTCTGTTTGTTCTATTCTGCTGGAGTGACCTTCCATTTTGTTTTGTATTTCTGTTTCATTCTTTTTTCTGAGGATTTTCATATCATTAGTTGCTTCTTCTTTAATATTGTCAAGTTTTGCCCTTAATTCATTTATCTATCTGTTTATGGTGATCTTTGTTTCAGTTTGATGTTTGTTTAGGGCTCCTATGATTTCATTTATTTGTTTCTGTCTCCAGCTTCTCAGCAGGATCTCTGGCTCAAGATCTCACGAGGTCTGCAGCTCTTTCTCCACAGCCATCTTGGGTCTCTCGAATTTTATTTTTAAATTTTTATCTATGTACTGTAAATTACTCCTTCTGCTTTAGGTATATAATATGTACAATGCATAAATTCTGTTTTTGAATCTGATGAGATTAAAAAGTGGTGATTAGTAAACTTTAATAGTAATCTTCAGAAAAGGAACACCCATACAAAAATAGTTTTCTTTATTAAATTAAAATATATATTTCCCATTGGCTCAAGATCTCACGAGGTCTTCATCTCTTTCTCCACAGCCATCTTGGGTCTCTCGAATTTTATTTTTAAATTTTTATCTATGTACTGTAAATTACTCCTCTGCTTTAGGTATATAATATGTACCATGCATAAATTCTGTTTTTGAATCTGATGAGATTAAAAAGTGGTGATTAGTAAACTTTAATAGTAATCTTCAGAAAAGGAACACCCATACAAAAATAGTTTTCTTTATTAAATTAAAATATGTATTTCCAATTGGCTCAAGATCTCACGAGGTCTTCATCTCTTTCTCCACAGCCATCTTGGGTCTCTCGAATTTTATTTTTAAATTTTTATCTATGTACTGTAAATTACTCCTCTGCTTTAGGCATATAATATGTACCATGCATAAATTCTGTTTTTGAATCTGATGAGATTAAAAAGTGGTGATTAGCAAACTTTAATAGTAATCTTCAGAAAAGGAACACCCATACAAAAATAGTTTTCTTTATTAAATTAAAATATGTATTTCCAATTAATATTAAAAGTGAACTTGAATTATATTAAGGAATAAATATTCCTTGTGTTCATTGAGTGGAAATTTACTAGGTGATTGCCTAGGAAATTATAAGTGCAAACTTTCAGGAAGCTCTTATCTTGATCATCATTAGACATGGTTATTACTTTTAGTACCTCCTTTTGATTTATTTGCAGGAGCTGGTAGGATATTACCATGAATAATAACTACTGATAGCTTAAAAAAATCAAAAGTATCCAAAACACTACATTATCACAATTTTGATCTGAAAATGCCAAGTGGTCCTTCCTTTCTTATTTCCTATATTCATTAATGGCTCAGCATTAATGGCAAGCCCAAGGAAGGCCTTGGTACTAATATTAGTTTATTTTTTCTGTTGCTGTAAGACAGTACCTGGATCTGGGTACTTTGTATATTAAGAGTTTTACTGAGCTCTCAGGTTTAGAGGAGCAAGGGTATGGTGACGCATCTACTGGCTCTTTTGAGAGCTTTCTGACTGGATCACAACATGGCAGATGGTGTAATGGTAGGAACACTTGTGAGCAAGATGGATCACGTGGTGAGATTTGAAGTGGGAGACATTCAGAAGCCAGGCTAACTCTTTTTATAACATGTAACTCTTGAAAAAATGAACTCACTGTCCTTAGATCAGCACCAATTCCTTCCAGTGGTCAGACCTAACCCCATTCTAGTAGCACATATCTCAAGAGGTCCATCACCTCTTGGGACTGCCATACTGGGTACCAAGCTTAGCACGTGGACCCCTGTAGGACAGACCATCAGCACTTATCACTCTTATGTGACAACATTCCAAGTTCTGTCAAGTGTTTATAGTGTAATAGGCCTTATACCTTCCTCCTTAGTTCTGCCTACAGCATCATTTCTCAAGGAGAGATGTTTTTAGTGTTCTCTTGGATTATTTAAGTAACTCACAATGGTCTTTTTGCTCCCTTGCTTTCCATCTTTTATACCATAATCCAAAAGTATCTTTAATACACAGATGATCATAGTACTTCCTCTTCAAAATCTGTGAGGTTTACAGAATACAAGTCACACTTGTTACAATGATATTTATAGGGCTGTACTTTCACTAGCCACATCAACCTCCCCCCTAGTTATAAATGCCGTATGCACGTATTGTCATTTCTGTGTCCTTTTCTCATAGCATACCTTCTAGTCTGAAGGTCTTTCTCTCTCACTTGATGTATTTGAATTCTTTAAAGCTCAATGCAAATGCCATCTTTTAGGGAAGAGGCTCTGAATATGCTCCAGTTCAGGTTAAAACGCTTCTTTTTTTCCTCTCTCTTTTTCTTTCCTTTTTTCCTGTAATACATTTCCAGAAAACTATGCAGTACTTATTTCATTTTAACTTAAAGGCTTACATTTGAGTCAAATACCCTTGCATTCAAATGGTGCCTCTTCTGCTTACTTCAGGTACATGTCTGAACAACTTCCTAAGTTTCTTCCTCATCAGTTGCAGGCTTCTGTTTGTGTTACAGACTGATAACATAGTTTTACCTAAGAAAATGGTGTCTATGTGTGTCTCTAAGTAGTTGTCCACCTGGCTCCCTTACTCAGTGAACAGTAAGCACTTTGACACAGGAAATAAGTCTTATTCATCTTAGTCCCCATTACAACATGCTGGTCTCCTAAAAAACCTCTTGCTTTTAGCTTTGCTTGTCACGGCTAGTGGAGCACATTACATGTAACACATGAGAATTAACATATTAATTTATGCTGTATTGCTTCATTTTACAAAAGAGGAGGACTTAGGAGATGCATAAAAGCCAGAAGAGTGAAACACAAAACAATAATGTCCAAATGAAAAGTTTAATTTCAGCATCATGTATCGAAGTGAAACAAACAGTAGAGATAAGGAAATGTTAGCATTTGTCTTCATTATATCATGTTTTGTAGGATCTCGTCTTCGCCAGGAAGACTTTCCCCCACGGATTGTGGAGCACCCTTCGGATGTCATTGTCTCTAAGGGAGAGCCCACCACTCTGAACTGTAAGGCAGAGGGCCGACCAACGCCTACTATTGAATGGTACAAGGATGGTGAACGGGTGGAGACTGACAAGGATGACCCCCGGTCCCACAGGATGCTTCTGCCCAGCGGATCCTTATTCTTCTTACGCATCGTGCATGGGCGCCGGAGTAAACCTGATGAAGGGAGCTACGTTTGTGTTGCTCGGAACTATCTTGGTGAAGCTGTGAGTCGAAATGCATCTCTGGAAGTGGCATGTAAGTGAACCTAATGAACCTCATATGCACATTCACTTTTATTTGTTTATTTTTAGTAAAATTTGATTGTTTCATACATGCTTAATACCTAAAGTATAAAACAATCAACACACTGCATAACTTTGGCCTCTCCAAAGAAATCTGATTCAAATACTGACAGTGTTTCAACATATTTATTTATATTCAATCAGTATAGAGCTTATGTTATTATATTAAGGCAACGTGTCAATATAGGATGCTGTTCATCTTGAAAATTAGAATTACTGAGAGATATAATGAAGCGTTAATGTTGGCTATGTTCAGCTGAAAAGTTTGTGTGTAATATGTCATCAAATGCAAGGCATAAATTCAGTAGGGCACCTATTTTTGTTACAAATATATATATATAGTGAAATATATTTACAGACAAATATGTAATCTCTAAATATTTTATTGTGTGACTTTCAAATGAATTTACTGTCTTATTCTCTAGATTATCTTAACATTTTTACTACTAAGTTGAATTTAGGAATTGTTACCCTAGGCGTGGAGGTAGAATTCACCACCAACAGCAGTTGTACTTAGTTTTTTCAGTAATACTCATCAAGGAAGGAATGTTTTCTGTGAGATCAGAATGTTCATATATCAGAGTCTCCCATTTCATTCCATCTTGATAATCAGTAGTAGCTAAGGACTTGCCCTGTCTTTGGCATTAAAAAAAAATGTTTTTGTTTATTCATTGGATGGCCCAGATGTCAGTGTCAATCAAGGTATCGGTGCTTCCTATCCATTAGGACATTAACTCTATGGATCTATTGACTTCATGAATTATTTTCCAGAACAAATTAAAATATAGATTTTTGTTTTTGGTCTGGTTTTCAGGTGAGGATTTGGGACTGCAATTTAAACAGTGCTATATAACTCTTTTAACAGTGTGTTCTCTATTTTTATGGGAAGAAACGAAGGAAGTTAAGGTGAATAAATATGGTTGATGTACTTCCTATATAAAAATGAATGTAGAATTTTAAAAACTGTTGAAATTACCATATGAAGAGGACTAAGGCAGAAAGGAGAAAAATAGAAGGGATAAACCAATTTGAGTTATAACACATACATGCATGGAAATGCTACAGTGAAACACCTTGTATAGCTATCTCAAACAAATAAAAATGTCATTTTTTTAAAACAAAAATGGAGAACAGGAGGGAAAAACAGGTCCAGTCTGGGGGATTGGTACCAGTGAGAAGGAGGAGGATATAAGAAAAGGGTGTAGGAGGGTGAATGTGGTGCAAATACTATGTGTACATATATGTAAATGGAAAAATGATGCCTGTTGAAACTATTTCAGGAATGGGAGGACTGAGAATAAAATGAATTCAAATATAATATATTGTAAGAACTTTTGTAAATGTCACATTGTGCCCCCAGTACAATTAAAAAAAAGAAAAAGAATGACTTCTGAATAAGATGGCAACAAGTGTGCCGAAAATTATTTGTATTTACTAGCTTTCTGGTTGTAGAGTTGGTCTTTTTTCCTTTTCTTTCTTTCTTCCTTTTTTGTTTTTGCAGTACTGGAGTTTGAACTCATGCTTGCTATGCAGCCCTGTAACACTTGAGCTATTCTGCCAACCCAGTAGGTCTTCATAGAGAAGAGAATTGCTTGATCTCTAGATGTATGAATCTTCTTTTATAACTGTGAGGGGAATGCTAAATAATAAGTTCAGGTCATATGTCTTTAATTACAGTTGATACTGATGGTCACATGCAACATGATATGACAGTGGATTGATTACTTGCGTATAAGTGTATTAAAATTCTCAGCAATGATAAATGTCTTTACACATGAAAACATCTTTGGTACACAAGAGGGTAGTTTTTTTTTCAGCTGTTCCAATGAAAACACTTGCTCTCAAGCATCCAGTCTACTGATATTTAACACCAGTAGAAAAAGACTCAAAGAATTTGGAGACTCACATTTTGTGTGTGAAGAATCTTGAGATACGAGCACTAAAAACATAACTAGCAATGACATATTGCACTGGATATCTGATATTTTCTTTTTTTTTATAGAAATACTTAAAAAAACCCATAAAAGAGTTTAGGGAGATTTCAAATATATAAACAAAAGAATTCAAATATTCCTAATTTTCTCATTGATATCTTGAAATTTCTTTTTTCTGGAATTTTTCAAAACTATTGAAATATTTAAATGCTGAAACTATTCTTTTTTCCTCTCTAGATTCCTTTATGGTAAATGTGACTGGTGTTATCTTCCCATTTATAGGTGAAGAAAATAACTAAGTGACCAAAATGTACACAATAAATTAATGGGAATTCCAAAACCAGATCTTGAATCTTCTAATTTTTATTTTAGGGAATTGTGCTATACTAGAAGAAACACTGTAAATAAAAGTCTGACCTTTTTTAGATTAATGAAAACTAAAGATGCTTATTTTTTCTTTTATCTATTCATCAGGAAAGAACTATTTTAAATCCTTAGCTAATTTTACTTCCCCAAATTAGAAGTCATCTAACTTGGCCATTAATTTCTTTGTTGGGCAGTTATAAACATTTTTTTTTCTGGAGTCTTAGCTTTGTTAAAATTGCTCCCAACACACATGCATCTTTTATTTTATTTCACTTCAAAGGATTACTGTCTTTTATAATTGAATCATTAATAATGAATCAAACTGATATAGAAGGAAAATTTAAACCATGATTGTTTTTCATGTACTGTGACAGTAGCATTTTTTAATTTTGAAATAAATGAGCTCTAAGAAATGCTTGAATTACTCATAATCTGGAGAGGAAAACAAAAAAGCTTCCAAATTGGATTTAGCTAATGAATAAAATTCTTTCTTTGAGTGCCACATCAACAGTTCATGCCATTTGGGGCAACACAAGATCAAGTGATATTCATTTATAAGTTGCTCATCTTACCATTATCTCATTAGTCTTTTCTCTGGTGTACTTCATGAAACATGCTAATGTGGAAGTTTGGGTTTGAGAATTGTGATTTTTTTTTCAGTACCTCCTGGAAACTAAGGTACATTAATATAAAACAATAGAGCGATAACTGTAGATCATACAAATGTTTTGCCTTTGTATTTTAGAATACTCAAAATAAGTTCTCAGTCATGGTACATTTTCTTCCTCATCTAATACGAGAATATGGTTATCTGCTGAATGAGATGTTGGAGAATAATAGTGAAGAAGATGATTTCAAACTACTCTCAAAGGGTTTACAGTGTACTTGGAATGCAACATACAAATATGTAATTATAAATTAAATAGACAAACATTAAAGTCTGTTATATAGACAAAATTATGATATGGGAACCTAAAGGGAGCATATTTAATTATTCCTACAAGAATGTTTGAAGAAAGGATTCTAAGAGGATACAGTGTTTGAAACGTGATTTGAAGGTCAGGTGAGATGTCTCAGATGGAAATTGAAGTACGTGATCATCCTGGTAAATGGAATGGAAGCAATACAGAACACTTTGAATTTACAGAAGTGCAGGTAGCTTGATGTGAGCTTGGGTGGGCAAAATAACTTGGAAAGGTAGGCATATGTGCAATCATAAAATTTAGACTTTTTTGTTATGTCTAAGGACAGTCTTTGAAAGATAACTTGATGGTTTTAAAGGGATGATCATTGAAGTCATCGATCTTAGATTCTAAACTGAGAATAGCAATAAAGATGGAAAGGAAATAGTTAGAAGTGTATCTGGAAATTATGGTCAATTTGGGAAGACAAAAGTTTCGCTCTGGGATATTTTTATGCATGAGTATCTGGATATATAGTGACACCATTGAATATTATAGGGACATTTGTATAGGCAGAAAAACTAGTGGGAATGAGAGCGTGTGTTCAGCTTGATTTGGCAATGAGATTCAAGGTGTAAATATTCTAATGTTCCATTTAAAAAGGAACTTCCAGAGTTGAGAGATCATTGTCATAAAGAAATTGAAGCCATGGGAGTAGGTAGAAGTACAGGCAACTCCCCGCACAGGCTGTGTGTGGGGAGTGGTTAATAAGAGCTGATGCCATTGTTTGGAACAAAGGAAAGATGTACCAGTATAGGAAGCTCAGACTTAAAAGAGGTATTAGAGTGACAGGACATGGACAATAACGTGACAAGAGAAACAAATACTTTCAAGAAAAAAATAAGTGGTTGGAGAGCTGAGTCTGGTGGTACATGCCTGTAATCCTAGTACTCAGGACTCAGAAACAGGAGGATTGCAAGTTCGAGGCCAGCCTGGGCTACACAGTAAAACCCTGTCTCAAAAAGAGAAATCATAGTTGTTGGCACAATGCAAATACCATATAGTGGCCAAATAGAAAGTACCCATGGAGTCTAGGAATGGAGAAAGAGCATAATAGCTGAAGAAAGAGTAGTTGATGGAATTGGAGTGGCACATTATTCCTGTTCTTCCAAAAAAGTATCTGTGAATGGGGCATAAGGAAGCTAGAGCAGGGTGTTTGGATGACATCTGCATTGTTGCCATTTGGGGTCAGATGAATCGTTGTCATGGGCGGCTTGTGTTCTAAATGTGGGGTGATTGTAAGCATTTCTGTCCTTTGCCTATAAGATGCCAGCAGGGCTTCCTGCCAGGCTCAGTCATAGCAACCAACAATGTCAACACACATTGAAAAATGTTCCCTGGTTTGTACTCAGATAGCACTACTGATCTAGGTGTACTTGTACAGTCAAGTATGTATCCATAACTACAAAGAAACTTGCAGCTTTTATTATGAAGTGATTATTGATAAAATGGGATGAAAAATGTTTGACTCCCTTGACTTTACCTTGATTTTCATTTTGATTATAAAAATATTAGATTTTATTATAGCATGAAGTTTAAAAGTTTGTTGATAGCTATCTATTTTGTTTAGTTATGTGGAAATCATCCTGTTATCCCCTATACCATATTTATTCTCTTTCTCACTCTTTTTTGTTTTTAATCTTCTTTCAGCTTTATCTAATAAAACAATTCAGAGAGGGGAAAAATCATTC